AAGAAAATATTAATTTATTTGATACATCAGAGTACCTAAACGATGATTCTTACGGCATTTCGTTAGTAAACAAAAAAGTATTGGATAAAATGAAAGATGAGACTAATTGGAGAATAATGACTGAATTTGTAGGGCTTGGATCCAAAATGTATGCTTTAAAATTACAAGTTGATAAAGTTTGTAAGGAGTTTCAAGGTGTAAAGAAATGTGTTTGTTAAAAATAGAATTACATTATATGTTTGTTTGTTTATAATTAAGCACAAAGCTACACAATGGGCTATCTGTGCTCTGCCCACCGCGGGTATCAAAACCCGGATTCTAGTGTTGTAAGTCCGTAAACATACCGCTGTGCCACTGGGGGGTAACATTATATGAATATAAAGAATGTTTATTTGATCAGAAAAATATATAAAAAACTATATATATATATATACTACTGTGATTGTTCCAGGGATATGACATCCTTTACTTTAAAGTCACAGTGATCGAGTGATCGTCAGTTATGGGGGTAGTGCCTTCGCCACGAAAAGAGTGGTATTTATTGATGTTAGTATATAATGTTATATTTGTTTGTTTTACAGCAGGGATACATTGGGCTACCTGCTGTGTTCATCGCGAGAAATCGAACTCCGGATTTTAGCGTTGTAAGTTCGGAAACTAACCACTGTCCCACCGGGAGACTGCCATGTTTTATTGGTCTGTAACAAATTACGAGTTTTAACTTCTTTTGGTAGAACTCAATTTTGAATAACTAATAATTTTGAACAGCTTGGAATATGACTTTCAACAACATAGAACTTTAACTTGAACTGTTGAGAGCTTTACATAATTTCGAATTCACATCACTCTCCAATAAAGGCTTCACACCTACACTCGTTTTTACCTTTGAAAAAATATTGTTTTATTGTGTACAACTTGTGTCTAATCTCTTTCTTCGTGTCGGACTCAGTGAAGGTTGCGGAAAGTCAAATTTCTTCTCCGCACTACATTTTCTGGCGAGCCTCTAGTTACTTTGCGGTTCTTACCCAATCACTAGGAATATGACACCTGGCTTTCTGCTTATTATAAATGGCTCGGACAAAGGATGGAAGCACTAGTTCATAAACTAGCTTATAGCGCTACCTATAATGTTCATTCTATGTTTCTTCGCTTTATACTTACTACTTATTCTGATTGACTCGTTGAAGGATGAAACACGTGCTGGGTGACTCGTGTTACCTACAACATTTATCTTTTGCCTTTACGGCTGTCTGCTTACTCTGATTAGTTCGTATTAAGTAACCCTTAATCGTAGGACAATCACAGTTTAGCTATCGCTCAAAATTTAAGCAAAGACATAACTTATATCTAACTTCTAAAATGTCATTAATTTTCTTGGTTTTCTTTGTTCTTTTCTCTGCTAACTATTAAAGATTGGTTCGTTATGAAGATCAATTCTCCAGGTCCTTAGCGAGTTATTTTGTATGCTTGAGATAAGGTTATTAGCCATGCATTAAAATGACACTAGAGATGCTCGCATACGTCAGTCTTTAATTTCATATCATAAATAAATCGATTAAACTCCTTACTGTTTAATATCAAATACAATAAAACAATAAAAACAGATCCAACAAATAAGTGAAGAATTATAATAAGTTAATATTAATATATCAAAACGAAAAACAAAGCCTAATGTGTACAAACTTACTACGATTAGTCAACGTTAAAATATTATATAACCAGATCTAGTCCTATTATATTACGAAAGAGAATATGATTCGTTATTCCAAGTGATAGTTTTCCATCGTTTGCTCAGTTAAAGTCTTTAATGATGCACTTAATGTAAGATATGCGGTTTCTTTTTATAACAATCTTCAACCTTCGTTTGTACTAGGGAATGATTAATTTTGGAAAGTTGAGTTAATTGATATTTTACATTATCACGTCCACTGGTTTTTCATTTCTTCAGTGCATCATCCCCATTGTGTTTAACAGAAGTGTGAATTTCCTCGTGATATACTGTTTTATCTGGCTATTTGTGACAGCTGCAATGGGATTCACATGCAAATTGTGTGACAAAAGGCCCATTACTAGGTGGAAAGGTGCTGCCTCAGAACGTTTGGGAGTCAAGTGTAGTGTGTGTGTATTTATAGATATATAATCAAAAACACCTTAGATGTGAAAAAAAGGGTGCGGCCAAAAAAAAAAAAAGGATTGAACGTGCGACTTAAAGGAATGAAACCAAAATTGGCGACCAAACTGGTAGCTACACTTATAACATTAATAATAATTTTACAGCAAATATTCATTCATTAGTTAAATAGGCCGTGTATCTTGTTTTACTCATCATCATGCCCCAAGTTGAACAAAAAACACGGCCTGGCTAACTAACTGGCTAAGTCGCACGCTCAATCCTTTTTTCGGCCACACCTTTTTTACACCTAAGGTGTTTTCGATTAGATATCATGAATTTTTGTCAAAACATACCAAGAAAGAAAGTGACACTCGACAGTAACCAACATAAGCTTTAGGATCGCAACCCTATTTTTCGGAACAGGCTTATGCTTCACAGAACCAACCAGATTGCTTAAAATACATGGTAATAGTTTTCCTCTCTAACGCAGTGTTAATAACTTCCTTTATAGTACTGCCATGGAATCTAAATTAACAGTTTCTTGTTATCACCCCCATGCACTCGGTACAGCAGTTTCAAGTATTGCTATTTACGCTAACTGCTTAAGCTAATATTACATAACGCTAAACGCTTTTTAATTAAGAGAATGTCATAAAATTTAATAAATTTGTGCTTAAAAGTTGGCAATGAATAACCGTCCAACCGTGTGATTCTTTTGAAAACTTGAGCTAGAAACTGCTAATATAGTTTGCTTGGCCTAACCAATACTTATGTATCTGCACGTGCTTTCACCCTCAAGTTTTGCTGCTCTATGTCAGCCATCTTTAATACGAATGGCAAAAGACTAAAAGCGGTCTACTTTCACTCTCAGATCAAGCTCTAGTAAACATTTCAGCCCGATAGTTCAAGAGACTTTTATCGTAGACGTGCGCAAAAATACTGATCAAAATTGAGCGATTTTTGTTGAATATCTTTGCACATGTGGCTTATATTTACACAAAATGAGACTCCTAATTGTTGGTTATAAAGATCTATCAGTGTAATAAATTTCAAAATAAATCTGTAACATTTGAGCATATTTTTCAATCAAATAAAGCTTCCGTACTTTCGGTGCGAAGAAAAAAATAGGAAGAAATTCAATGAAAATTGCCTTTAAATTTGGTGAAGTAAGGGTCCAGTAGATTACATCCACTTAAAATATGTGATAGTTTGGATTACCACAGTCCGAGCTACAGAAAGAGGAAAGTTGCTAAACTATCACTCAGTGTGTCCTGCAAGTTGTTTTGGCCGCGCGTCACACTACAGTGTGTCTTGATATATGGTTGTGGCTTATAAATATCAAACCGTGTAAATGAAATTTGAAAAAAACAAAAAACAATTATCTATATTACTCTAGAATAAAAACAAAAGGAATTGTATTTCGTACAGTCTATGTAAAAGGCAAATACATTTTACTTTAAAAAACAACAAGAGTTTTTACATAAACACGTGGTATATGGACGTTCTATACCAAATTTTGTTTCTGCATTTTACTTATGTGGTGAAAAGTTTCTGGAATGGCTTACATGGTATAGTTTCTGTACCAGGAGTGACTCATAGTTTCTGCACTGAAAGAAACTCAGATGTCATAGTTTCTGTATTGCTAATGACTCACATTATATAGTTTCTTTATTGATAATGACTCACATTATATAGTTTCTGTACTAAAAATTACTCACATGCTAGTTTCTGTATGAGGAAAGGCTCAAGTGTCTTAGTTTCTGAACAAGGAAAATACAAGCAACGTGTTTATAGTTTCTGTACTCGCATTACTCACATATTATAGAGTCTGTACTCGAAATAATTCGCATATTATAGTTTCTGTTCAGGAAATGACTCACATGTTATAGTTTCTGTTCAGGAAATGACTCACATGTTATAGTTTCTGTTCAGAAAATGACTCACATGTTAGTATCTGTATGAGGAGTAACTCACATTTTATAGTTTCTGTACTAAAAATTATTACTGTTATATTTTTTTGTTTCGAAAATGACTCACATGACTCGTGTGCTATAGTTGATGTGCTAGAAATTACTCACGTTATAGTTTCTGCTATAGAAATGGCTCACATATTATACTTTCTGTAGTAAAAATATATAACTCACATGTTATAGATCAGTAGTTATTATCAATATTGTTTCAGTTTCTGTAATAAATTTCCTTGAAAATGTTTAGTTAAAAGACTTACTTTCTCAGTTACAGTTGTATCTTTTTCACAAGACTTGCCTTCTTCTGTAGACAGTTGTATCTTTTTCACAAGACTTGCCTTCTTCTGTAGACAGTTGTATCTCTTCGCAAGAGTTACCTTCTGTAGATATTTGTATCTTTTCGCAAGATTTATCTTCTTTTGTAGACAGTTGTATCTCTTCGCAAGATTTTCTTTTTTCTGTAGACAGTTGTATCTCTTCGTAAGACTTACCTTCTTCTGTAGACAGTTGTATCTCTTCACAAGACTTACCTTCTTCTGTAGACAGTTGTATCTCTTCGCAAGAGTTACCTTCTTCTGTAGACATTTGTATCTTTTCGCAAGACTTATCTTCTTTTGTAGACAGTTGTATCTCTTCGCAAGACTTACGTTTTTCTGTAGACAGTTGTATCTCTTCGCAAGACTTACCTTCTTCTGTAGACAGTTGTATATCTTCGCAAGACTTACCTTCTTCTGTAGACAGTTGTATATCTTCGCAAGACTTACCTTCTTCTGTAGACAGTTGTATATCTTCGCAAGACTTACCTTCTTCTGTAGACAGTTGTATATCTTCGCAAGACTTACCTTCTTCTGTAGACAGTTGTATATCTTCGCAAGACTTACCTTCTTCTGTAGACAGTTGTATCTCTTCGCAAGACTTACCTTCTTCTGTAGACAGTTGTATCTCTTCGCTGTAAGGACTTTCTCCTTTACTATTGAATGCCTTAACTCGAGCCTTGTATTTGGTATTAAAGTGAAGATTGTCCACCGTTGTGACTGTTTCGATTCCACGATAAACTACCTGAAATATGACAAGGTAAATATTTCACGGGTGACCATTTATAATTTTAAATATTTACTAAATTTTGTTAAGATGAGCTAAGGAAATAGAAAGAGTAAACATTAACGTATTTTATGGAAAAATTAATTTCGATAGATGTCAATAATATTTTTAACTACTAAAATGTCACATTGTTGTGTTATATTTACAGTTTTGAAAGTTTCTCCACATCACAGCTTCATGATGAGTTATATTTTACCAGTTTCACAAATACATTACCAATAATTTATTTAGCTAAGTCTGAGGGCTTATAACGCTCAAAATGGGATTTCCGTTCTCGCTGTGGACACATTATAGATAGGTTATTGTGTAGCTTAATGCTTATCAACAAACACCCAAGTATAACAACAGTGTTTGAGTATGATCACACCCAGGGAGATAATGGGAAGATCAAGGAAATTTCCCCGAGGCCAACGGCTTCAAAGAGGGCTCTTGAAAAGGCAGAAAAAATGTGTAGTCAATCAATACCGAATATTTAATTTTTCGTATTTTATTTTAAGTAACATAATTTCATTCATAAACTGCTATTTCCCGTTTGCATTTTCTACACAGTCCCAGTAGAAGGGAAACGATAATTTAGCAAGTTGGAGCTGATTAAACATTTTTTTGAATTCCACCACTGCTTAAGACAGACTGACAAATCTGGGAACGCTTGCACTGTGAACTTTGACCTATGATTGATCACTTTATCAGACAGAAGGCCAGGAAAGTTAACTTTTAACTCGCAGAGATAATTAATTGATTTAATTTATGGGTTGTTGACCTCGCCAACAAAACTGGTAATAAACAAACAAATTAATTTAACGTTTAAAACGGGTTTGTATACATCTGTAAAAGTTTGACTTGTTTACAATACTATGTCTTGGGATGGTTGATTGCGCATAAAATATTCATGACCATAGATAAAGGCATTTGATATTTACATATCTTTCACTATTGTGTTTTTTTAATCGTTAAGTTATGTAAAATATAATGATAATTATAGACAGTTTCACATTAAATTCGGCCCGGCATGGCCAGGTGGTTAGGGATTTCGACTCGCATTCTGAGGGTCGCGGGCTCGAATCCCTGTCCCACCAAACATGCTCGCCCTTTCAGCCGTGGGGGCGTTATAATATGACGGTCAATCCCATTATTTGTTGGTAAAAGAGTAGCCCAAGAGTCGGTGGTGGGTGGTGATGGCTAGCTGCCTTCCTTCTAGTCTTACACTGCTAAATTAGGGACGGCTAGTGCAGATAGGCCTCGTTTAGCTACTGCCAACTGGTATCAATTTCTTTTTCAAAGAATCAAGATCAGCAGCTGCTTCTCTAAAATTCATTTTTTGGGTCCTGAAGACGTTTCTACACTCGATTGATAGATGATAAAAAATTTCTCCAAAAATGCAAAAGTACAATAAAATCAAATGTAAGCATGCGTTGCAGAATATTATGAGTACCACATTTTGTTTAAGCCGTGTTCCCATTCTCACTTAATTGCTCTAACAGTCCTAGCAATTCATCCAGTTTTTCATGTACAACTTTTACTGCCTTTTCTCTTGCACTCCACCGTGTTTCTGATTCACGCTTGAAAAAGATCTGAAGCTCCTGTTGAAGTTCGTCCCATCGAGTTGTTGAATGAGCAAAGAAATTATAAATGGCTTCAATTATATCAAAAAAGGTAATAACTGTTGTTTTTTGACTTACAGCATGAAGACATGCTAAGTTCAAACTGTGGTTGTCACAGTTTATAAATACTGCTTTTGGATTCTTGTTCAGAATTCTTTGTTGAACGCCTGACAGATGACTTGACATGACATCATAACATTATGAACAACAATCACTCAATAAAATTCCATCCGCTTCTAATTTTGTGCTTATTGTTTTCTCAATATTAGCAGCGTCTTTTTCCTTTATCTGCATAAAGTCAATAAATGACTCTCTGACTTATACTTTTCTTGTCTTAAAGTCAATATCAACAAACCGAATCACTTGAGCCAATTGCTCAGGATGAGCTAAATCAGGCGTGAAATCAAACAGAATATAGTATTTGTTTCTACGAATTGCTGACAAACAATAATTTCGCACATGTGAAGTCATG